CCACTCGTGTGAAATAAAAAAGAAATGATTAACACGAATTTTTGTGAATTAAAATTGAACGAGAGAGAGAGAGACTTTTCAATCATTGCAAAATTTTATTAATGGTCTCTCAATCATGAAGTGTAAAGCTTCTACAATCCTGGGATCACAATCATTTATAATTCATACGATGCAATATATTTGTGTCTGAAAAAATACTGGCGATTTTTCTTATTATTCTCATGGCATATTTTGTGTATTCACAATTTGACATCAGTTATTTGTAGAAGCACTAATATATCACCGGTAGCGTTAATGGCAAAATGTTAAGACGTGCCAAAACCTCTTCATTCTAAATTTAAAATACAAGTTAATTACAGTATACAATCTACAAGGAAATCCAGTAATCTCATCAAGCGCAGAAACGGTCGATCCTCTAATTACGCCTAGCCGCGCTTTTAATACCCGCCGTTCGTCGTATCCATCTCTCCCAAGGCTCTGCAAAACTCTAGCCAACCTCGACACCTCATAAAAAATACCAGACAGCTCACGATTATTATTCTCTTCCCAGTGACGTGCGTCAACGCTGCGATTTCGAGTACTCGGATCAGCTTTTTGTTTCAAGCGTCTGAATCGAAAATTTTTTCCTCGCCGCGTCTCAGCTGTTCTTTGTCCATTAATGAAGATATTCTAATGTCAAGGTCGAGTAGTTATCGCGTTGACACTCTAAGCACGTGAATTCTGCGAAACTCGTCTCATCTCAATAAAAAAGGATAATTGATGCTGCATTCTGAACAATTGAGAAACCCGTGTGATTGTACTGTCTACAAAGATACAGATGCACGACAGTCAAGATTCATGCTTAAGAAGTTTCATGACAAAATCTATGAATAATGAGTAATTTTATGTATTGCATTGTGTAGAAGTACGTTCACGTGTTTCGGGTCCAGCTCTATTGACTTTCTCACCTTCAGACGGGATCGTTGAATCGAGGGAAGGTCGGTGCCAATCTTAAGAATAAGGAACCCGATAAATCTGTCTTTATCTCGAACGCATCTAATAATGCGAGACGGCCAAAAAAATGGCCGTGAATGTTATGCGACTCGGTGTGAGACTTTTCGTGCTTCGCGTGTCGATGACGCAATCCAATCACGTTTGCAGTCGGGTAGAGTTAAAGTAAATGGATAGCTTTATTATCAGAAGTTTTTTCCTTGAAGGATTATTGTTAGTATGAACATCCAGATTTGGTAGCAAAGGAATTTGCAAAAGGAATCATTGGATTATAGAAAAGATCCAATTGATTTTAAGTATTCTTTCATCTGATCTTGCATATTATGTCTGATAGTTCTTTCAATTTTTTTATTGATCTTTCATACTTAACTGATATGACGAATTAATTTCCTGCTATTTTTTAAGGTCTGTAACATCTGTTATAATTTACTTATTATTAAATATATAAATAATGTTTAAGATAAGAATATTTAATTAAATTGCAAGATTAGGCAAGAATGGTTAATAAAATATACATGTACATATATATATTAAAATGCAAGACTTGTGAGATTTATTTCTGAAAGGTATTAAAATATAGTGGTAGAGTTAATTTTCAAGTGTCGTTGAATGCATAATAGTTACTGCATTATTTTGTAGTTATTCATTTAAGATTTATAACAGGAATTCATTATGCTAATCGAGAATGTTTCGTCTCAGTTAATTAAACATTTAAATTATCTTTGAAC